CTATAAAAACCCTGGGCCAGAGACAGTCCGGGCCCGTTGGAATAGGTTCCAGGCCCCCTCGAGGCTATCCTTTATTTTCTATCTGTTTATCTCCACAAGATTCTCCGCTATAAATCCTTCTATCTAATATTTCCTGCTGCTCACACTCAAGAAAACTCTGGGAAGCTGTGGGGGTGGTGGGTAAATGCCTCACAGGGCTGCCATGTGCTGAATACCGATCAAGACCAGCAAGAGGTGCAAGGAGCCCACAGCAGGCTGTTGTTGCCCCTATACTCAAAGCCAGACTTTCTGAAAGGATAAGAATCAGAAGGGTGCCATAAGGTAGAATGCCCCTGGACTCTTGTTCTACATTGTCTTGACACAAAAACTCCAAGGGCGGTGTGAACTGTAGCGCAAAGATGGAGACCTCTGTTGATCCACATCATTTTTATTACACAAAATAAAATTCCGTCAATGCTTCACATTCATGTTTTCTATAAATCTGGCTTTAAAAAATCCCTAGGGGCCCAATCAGAGAGGCATCATCCAGCAACTGATGGAGGCAGATGCCGAGACCCACAAAACATTAGGCAGAGTTCTGGAATCCTGTAGAGGAGGAGGAGAAAGGAATGTGGGAGCCAGAAGGTCAAGGACACCATGGGATGACTCAGAGAATCAACTAACCTGGGCTCATAAGGGTTCACAGAAACTGAACCAACAACCAGAAAGCCTGCATGAGACTGACCTAGGCACTCTGCACATATGTTAACAGTTGTGTAGCTCCATCCTCTTGTGGGACTCCTAACAGGAGGAACAGGGGCTGTCTCCAACTCTTTTACTGGCTTTTGGGACTCTACTCCTCATACTGCATTGTGTTGCCCAGCCTTAACACATGGGGAGGTCCTTAGTCTTACTGCAACTTGATATGCCATGCTTTGTTGATAACCATGAGAGATCTGCTCTTTCATGGATGAAGACAGAAAAGGAGGGGATTGGGGAGTGGGAATAGAGGAGATGAGAGAGGGACTGGGAGGGGAAGATGGGGGAGGCTGTGGCCAAGATGCAAAATAAATAGATGAATTTTTAAAATTCCTAGGAATGCAGTCCCCTCTGTTCTTTGACATCCCTGTCAATGACATCACATTTAATTGTGGTCGAGTCTTCCCAACAGGCTAAAGCAGAGCCTCAAGGCAGCCACCTTCCTGTGAGTTCCAGTCTGCCTGGCTGGAAGCAACACCAGACATCATCTAGACCAGGGCTGCTGAGCATAGTAATAATGGCAGCATGTCATCACCTTCACCAGCCCATCTCCAGCAGTACACCTAGTCCTCTCAGCTGGTCCTCTGGGGACTGGCTGTCACAGTGATGTGGTGGCACCATCCCCAGGCAGCAAACCATACTGGGCTTCTTTGGAAAGTCCTGGACCAGAGCCTAAGGGAATTTCTGTGTCCATGATATAAATCTGAATGAGATCAGACAATTTTATCAATGGTTGGCTTGGAAAGATCATCACTAAACACCTAGAAAGGAGAAGGAAAACAAGCTCTGATTAGGACACACACACACACACACACACACACACACACACACACACACACACACTCCAGATGAAGAAGCCTTGGTGATGGATGTTGACTAAGGAAAAGGGAGTCTCATTTCAAGAAACAGGCAGGTTAGGCAACCTAGGGCCCACACTTTGCTCCAGCCTGTGGAAAACCTAGAGCAAATGAGTGTGTGAGATCACTCATAAAATGGAAGCATATCCTCAGGAGCCCACAGCAAGAGGGGTATGCAGTTCGGGGCCAATTCACATGCCTAGGGCCATACACTTTCTCCCAAGGTGCCTGGGGATCATCTCTGAGTGCCCTGGGAACCCCTGCCTGTTGTGAGTGCCCTGGTTTGCCAGGGGCCTTAAGGCCCTGGCAGGTTGTCTAACAGCAGGGTTCAAGTGAGGGACCTGGAACACATGGTATGGTACCAGCTGGACCT